CATATATGCCTCGCGCCCCGCCCGCCAACAAAACACAGCTATACCTCGTGCATGATACGTTTACGTACTTAAGTCGCTTTACATGTATATATATATATATTTTAATTACTATTAAAACTTATATATTAATACGCTTTATTCTCATTAAGAGATATATAGGGTATTTATTCCGATTACAAAGGATGATTCCCGCATCATCATTTTTCGTCACTACCTCCACGTTGCGCGCTTGCTGCTTTCCTTGGATGTGGTAGCCGTTTCTCAGACTCCCACTCCGGAATCGAACCCTGATTGCCCTTTACTCGTTACAACCATGATATTGATAGTAACTACTATCATAACATGTAACTAAAAAGTGAAAAATAAATATAGTTTAAAAAAACAGGCTTTTAAAGCACATCGAACTAAAAAGTTAAAAATAATTTTTATAATAAGCTTAAAACAATAACGAACGAAAAATACTAGTATTATTGTGAAAAAAAGCGTGGGTGCTTTGTGCCATATTTTTCGTATATTGAGTGCCCGACGCTTTTATCACAATAATACTAGTACTTTTCCTACATTATTGTTTTAAGCTTATTATAAAAATTATTTTTAACTTTTTAGTTCGATGTGCTTTAAAAGCGTGTTTTTTAGTTTTTTTAAACTATATTTATTAAGACGGAAAACAAAAGCTTTTACTATTACAAAATGTATTTTAATTAATTTTTCTTGTATTTCTTTGAGCTCAAACACGGCTTATATTTATTAGTTTTATGTTTATTCACATTTATATAATCATTATTCTGAATTTAATTTTTTTATTATTAATATTACAATACATTGAATTATTATGATACAAATATATACAATTGTTCGTTCGGGGTAGCTCATCGATTACCGATAATCAATGTGTCTACATTGCGACGCGATGTATTTATTACATGTGTTGTTCTTATTTGTTCCGTATCATCGAATAGTGGAAATTCTAAATAGATTATTTATTTTTAAAACATAATTGCACAGTTGGTGGCAGATCCACATAATTCCAATTCCACAATATTATATCGATTATAACATTGCATTTACGATAAAACGATATTTTGAAAAAAATAAAAGTCCAAAAATAAATTAAAACGTTACAAGTCGCGTGGGGGTCATATTGACCCATTTCAATTTTGATGTATATTTTAAGTCATACATTTTTTTTTTGATGGTATTTATTTATGAAAATCGATTCAATATTACTATAAAAACCACCTTCTAAATTTATATCTATGTACACCTTTTATGCAATATAATACATCCATTTTTATTTATGTGGGGGTATGCTAGACCCCCACGCGACTGTTAAGGGTTAAAAAGTTCAAAACAAACTATTTAATAGATTAAAAGTTATGATATTTNAGGGTTAAAAAGTTCAAAACAAACTATTTAATAGATTAAAAGTTATGATATTTATTCAAAACCGGATGTAACACTGTATAATGTGTAGCTAAAATTTCAAAATATTATTAAAAATAATAAAATTCACAGGGCAAATATAATTTAGCGAATTAGAGAGTTAATTGACATATTTTCTTTTTAATTGAAACAAAAGACTTTTTCAATCAAATTACATCTTTTAATGGAAATATTACAAGAAGCGCTATCGTAATTTTCCCCTCTGAATTCGAAACAACATATATATTTTTTCTCATAAATTATTATTCACAAATAAATTTTTAATCATTGAATAATTCATGAAAAAGTCCATTCTTAGACTCAGTACTAAAAAAATATTAATTAAAACGTTACTGGCAAAAAGAAAGAATAAATAATAAATCAAGCTGTATTTTTAATTTTGATTAAAAATAAAATTATTTAATAAATTTTACAATATTAGTCAGATCTAACTATTAAATGTATAAAATGTTAGTATGATTTGCACATGAAATATTGAAAATTTAAATGCTAAACATTATAAATGCATAAGGTAGGTCTATCTAACTCAGTCAGTAACCAGTGATGCCCAGTGCATAGGTATCTGGGAACGATTCCATTGCGCTGAGCTATGTAGGTTCCCTTCTCCTCTCTGGTACAAGCAACATCTTTGAAAGAGGACGTTAAACATGATTAATGATTAATGATAAATAATAATTATAATGAAGATTAATTAAGATTGATGAATTATTCCTAAATCTTAATTGATATTAAAAAAATAACTCTTACTTATCTATAGTGATGGAAAATCATAGCAACCTTGTTTTAGTTTACAAAAATCCACGAAGTTTCTTATTGATTTTTAAAAACATTTATAAAATTATTATTTTTAGTAAATTATTAATTCAAATGTAGCTCATAATCATGATTCTTTCAATATTTGCCAAATACCTTTTAAATTCTTTACTTTGGTATAGAAATAGGTTCCAATGTAAAATTTACATTTATCTCTAGAATACGTTTAAGTTTAAAGGAGTTAATATTTTGTGTTTAGTTTTTAGAAATGTTTTACATTTTAACTGAATTTAAAATCATGAAAATTCTAATCATTAAAGGAATCATAAAAATGTAAAAAAAAAAAAAAATTTTAATTAACTTAATTTATAGTTATATATGCGTCATGAAAAAAAATCTGCATCGCTACACTACTTTACTTTTCATATTTTCTAAATCTTTAAATGCTAATATATAAAAAAGTATTAATACAATATTGGTCATCAATCAGTATTGATTTTATTTACACTAGTCTACATTTTAATAAATAAAAAAAAATAGGTTTCCATTTGGCTTTTAAAAGTTACTACTAAAGTCTACTCTTAGAATTAATTTTTTTACAATAACACATTACTTTACTATTATGGTCTATAAAAATAAATCAAATTTTAAATTTTTATGAAAATTTATAGTGAATCAAGTAGTATTATTGATTTAATTTTTCTCTTTCCTGTATATTAGTTAAGTGGACTATCTGTCAGTTGTAAATTTTTTGTTAGGTGAACAATAGCTTTTGGTTTCACAACAAGTATTTTTTCCTATGTATGAATAATATATATTGTATAAAAACAATGAAAAAGTATTCACTTCACTTTTTACATGTTGACCTGAAAGCCTTTTTTAAAAGACTATTCTTTTTTTGTTTCAAATGTTATTAATTTGCTAGTTCATTTAATGATAAAAAAATGTTTATTTTTTTAAGATGCAATATCTAATCCTACAATCAAAACGCTCTTTTGGTCAACGATAAGCTACATAAAAAAATAATTAAAAATATAACAATGAACACATCGCAAAAACAATCCTACATACTAAAAGAGATTAGACAAACAATACACCCTTGGCCACCTTTATAACTTTCCATACGCGTTCAAACTATAATAAACTGAAAAAAAATCGAGCTTACCCATTTCACTTATGAACAATTAATACAAAGCGAAGATAAAAGTACGTGCAGTATGACACCCCCTCACTGAATGCCTACAATATTAAGAAAAAATAAATAATTACCAAATAGTTAAACACATGTATCAAATTGCAGGTATTGGCCAAATAAATATCAATAGTCTAATTAAATTCTTCAATAACGCCAAAATTGACTAACAATTTAGAACCAAAAATATTTATTATAACAAAAAACAAACTTATTAAAATTGCAATATATATTATGTAAAAATATTGTTAATGATTAACAACTTTGTAATAATAATTATTATTATTATAATTTTATTTATAACAGGTTTATAAATTATGAAAAATCTAATGTTTGTAGCCATTTGCTTTTGCTATTGGTGCTATTTTTTTATCAAAAAAAAATTAATAATAATTTTTAATTTATTAAGAATATTACCCCCCTCCCCTTTAAANGTATAAAATTTAATGGGCTTGATTCAATACTTTTCAATAAAAACTATCTGTTTTACTTATGAATAAATAAACTGGACTACAAGGAACTTTCATCAGAATCAAAAAAAAAAAAACTATTCTAAATGAACTGTTTGCGCTGTTTTCAAATCTGAAATTAGACATTCCGTATCACTTTTAATTTTTCATATTATTACTCACTAGTAAAAATTAGTATTTCCATATAAAAAAAAAAAAAATTAAATAAAAAACAATTTGTTTTAAAATTATTACTGATTTTTCATTTTACTATGTTATATTAAATCAGTGTAAAATAACTTTTTAGCCTATTTTTTTGGTCCTTTAAAATTGTTTTTGTGAAAGCTTATAATAAAAAAAGTTGAATTTGTTACCATAAGTAGTTTTTGCACAATTTGAGAGTCTGAAATTGACATAATTAAATAGAGAATTAAAAAAATGTTATTGTTAAGATTAATATGCACTTAGTAAATTTATCAGGAAAGCTCAATATTCGTTTGAATTTTTATCGTAAAAGTAGGTCAAGCGCGACCGAGAAAAATAAATGATAGCCACAAAATAATAAAAAAATAAATAAACCAAATAGTAAAATAATTTTAATATGAATAAGACATTTTTTCTCACGAGGAGAGACTACAGTGATGGGATCCTTGATATTTATTGAAGTTATTGAATCTAAACGAGAGAAAAATCCTATGAGTTGAAAATATTATTCATAACATAGTTTTTTAAAAATTCTATGTGTCGACCATCTGTTAATATAATATTTAAGTGGCTTCAAATCATAAAAATACTAAATCAAGTTACCATGGATACACTAATGTTTATTTTTAAATACATATTAGTTTGTTTTTGCATTTAGTCCAGAAGAGCTAGTCTTTTGTGCCTATATACTATTAAAAACAGTCACAATAAATTGTGAAAAAAGTATTTTGATACATTGATTTTTTGCAACACAATCAAATTACAATGACGGTAAAAAAATTGTTTCGTCGGTTGGCAAGGGCCTTTACGTGTTGTCTTTCCAAAAAGCAGCGTAATATAAATGGTATAGTATCTTAGCTTAGTGTAGCACAGGTGTTTTTTTAATGAAATTTAGCTTAACACGATAGACAACAAAAATTCTCTCGATATCTAGTGTTTTCACACGTACGTAGAATTAATACACCTATTTATTTGAACATGTAAATGCAGTGTAGATTTACATATTCGGTATTAAAAAATTCATTTATGATTTTTTTTTAAATTAACTATAATTAGACTAATTATTTTTGCAATTTAATGTATTATTAATTAGAAAGCACGGACTGTTACTTAAGTCCAGTTAGTAGACATGATGTTCAGGATTCAGGAACTCAAACAACGACTACGTTAGAAAATGTATCTGATGAAAGGGTAAATATTGTTGACAATAACATTAACAAGACTGTTGATGGATGTGAAATGTCGGAAAAAGAGGTTCACGAACTTGGTATGGTGGAGCCTAACATAACAGATGTTGAAGGAGCAGCCATTGTGGAAAAGAGTATGCAGGAAGAGGGTACCATAAGTTTTTTAGAAATTGTTTGAATTTAAAATTGAAATACATTTAATACTTAAATTTGTATACATTTTTATAAAAGCTTAAGCATTTTAAAATAAATATTTTTGCAATTTACTGTGTTATTAACTAGAAGACAAGGAGTGTTACTTAAGTCCAGATAGTAATCACGATATGAAATCTGGCACAATGGACAACGAGGATTCAGGAACTAAAACAACGACTACGTTAGAAAATGTGTCTGATGAAAGGGTAAATATTGTTGACAATAACATTAACAAGACTGTTGATGGATGTGAAATGTTGGAAAAAGAGGTTCACGAACTTGGTATGACGGAGCCCAACATAACAGATATTGAAGGAGCAGCCATTGTGGAAAAGAGTAAGCAAGAAGAGGGTACCATAAGTTTTTTAGAAATTGTTTGAATTTAAAATTGAAATACATTCAATACTTAAATTTGTATACATTTTTATAAAAGTATAAAAATTTTTGCAATTTAATGTGTTATTAATTAGAAGACATGGAGTGTTACTTACGTCCAGTTAAAACACGTAGATTTAAAAAAGGTACTATATGCTTCTTCGGGAAAAAGAAGAATTCTGGCACGATAACTACAGATAATGGGCAATGTTATAAGTTCTATAAAGTAAGCATATTATTTTATTGTCTTCACTATATGATAAAACTGGGTAATCAACATTTTGAGATTTTATTTTGGTTATATATATATTTATAATATTTTATTTATTCTAACAAAATGCTTTTAACTTTGAAATATTTTAAAGTTTTTATTATTATTTTAATAAATATTGAATATTTTTCGGGGGATATTAAAGAATAAAAAAAAATTCTATTTAAAGTTATATGAAATAGTGTATTTTTGTTTCCCTCGGAATAATTAAAAATATCGAGATATGCATGTAGGTACAATAGTGTNATATCGAGATATGCATGTAGGTACAATAGTGTACATATATTGATTAAATAGATCCTAAAGTTTAAAATTATCTTTTTTTCAGGAAGATTTAAATTTAGGTTTTGATCGACGATTTAAATATCCACTAAAAGTGAAATTTGTTGTTGATGATTCACAGTCCAAATGGGCCTATGATGTAGAAATAATTGGTGATCCTTATGTCCAAAGGTAATATAAGATGGTTTAATATCAAAAATAATCAATACTAATTAATAATAATTAATACTGTTTTTTTATCTACAGGTGCTATTATTGTTTAAATGATGATCATCTTGGTTTAGAAGACTGTATGAAGTTACAGATAGATTCTTATAATTTTTACTATCCTTATATATAAAATAACAGTACAAAACCAGCAGTTTGTATTATTTATTCTGTTAATGTTTCAATAAAATTTATAAGTGTTTTAAGTTATTAATAAAAATTATGTTAATACTTAAAAGTTAATGTACTTTAATAATATTTTATGTTATTTATAATTCGTGATAAATATATTTTCATTAATTAAAGATTCTTTTGATTAACATATTTAATATAATAATTATAGATAGATGTACGTTAAAAATACATATCCTTCAAGAGAAAGAAAAAATAGATTTCTTTTAAATTACAAATGTATACAATGTTTCAACTAATTTTAGAAATGTTATACATATATTGCTATAAATTAAATATGTAACTCAACGTATTAACGATAGTTTCACAAACTTAAAACAAAAAATTGTGAATAAATATTTGAATAAAACTAATTATAGTATTTTAATTTAGTATGAAATCGGTATTCAATACCGTAATTTATACGGAGAAATTATTAAAATAATAAAGTAGAACTATAGCTCTTTACTTTTAACACGTATAAAATTTAAAGGGCTTGGTGCAATACTTTTCAATAAAAACTATCTGTTACTTATGAATAAATAAACTGGACTACAATGAACTTTCATCAGAATAAAAAAAAAACTATTCTAAATGAACTGTTTGCGCTGTTTTCAAATCTTGAATTAGACTTTCTCTATCACTTCTAATTTATGATATTATTACTCACTAGTAAAAATGAGTATTTACATATATATAAAAAAAAATTATTTTAAAATGATTACTGATTTTGCTTTTTATTATGTTATATTTAATCAGTGTAAAATGACTTTTTAGCCTATTTTTTTGGTCTTTATAATTGTTTTTGTGAAAGCTTATAATAATAAAAAAAAAAAAACTCAGCACAAGAGGGTCGCCGCACAGTGGTATAGTTGGATCAAGTATAATGATATCTGACAGTGATTAAAATTACTATCAAAATAAAACGCTTCGATGCAAATCTTTAGATAGTGTTTAATTTTAAAAAAATTGTGTATTATTCGAACAGTTACATGATCTGCTAGTTTCATTTCTGCTAGCTTTATTAAGATAAAGTATGTCGAATGAAAAAAGCATTATTATAAAATATTATTTCTCATAAAAAAATTGTGTTGATCCATACACTTTTCAATAAGTTATAGCATTATCAATTTAAAAATGTAAAAAATAAAATCAAGAATTTTCACACAAAAATTGTCATTTTCACCACGAAGACAGGTCCAGAGGGCAAATTTTTTTTTCTATAATATAGTACATTAAATTAACTTTAATTTAAGATATATATAAAAGTGTCAGACTTTCCAGAACATTTTCAAAAGTCAAGTTAAAAAAGTTAATTTTTTGTGAAAAAGTTGTCATTTTAAATCTCTCCCTGTGGGGAGGTTAATTGTCAAATTTACAAAAAAAATATACCAAATGATAGGTAAAGACATCAAGCATTTATAAAAAAAAAATTATATTGATATGTTCATTTTTGAGAAAGTTACGGCAGTTTTTAGTAAAAAAAATTGAAAAAATTTCGAAAATTAGCAATTTTTATATTTGTAATTTTTTTTGAGGTTTCCCCCATTTATGGGGAACGAGGGAAATTTTTTCAATTTTTGAAGATAATGTCTTCGATTAGATACGATTTGTGATCTTTTGACGTATCGTTGAAAGAAATCGGCTTGGTGAGAGCTGAGAAAAAGTGGTAACAGACACAAAAAAAAAAAAATAAAAAAAAAACACATCATAGTAAAATAATACCTTCTCAGCTTCGCATCGAAGCTAAAAGTTGAATTTTTTATATATGCCAAGCATTTGGCCATATACGAAAATTTGATAGAAAATTAACTTAAGACAAGACCAATTAATTTCAATGAGTTCAAGTGAATATTTTAATTCTATTGACAAAAACTAGATAGAAAATTAAATTTAAGACAAACTAATTTATTTCTATGATTATATATGAAAAGATTGACAACGTCAATGACGACAAGATGAGCGAAATTTTGTGTAGACAAAATTATTAGTTTGACACGAGAAAAGAAGGATACTTGAAACGAAAACGACAAAATAATTTGACAATAAGGCTAGGAACCAAGAAAGAAATGATTTTTCAAGCACCTAACCGCTACCCCGACAGATTAACTTGACCAGTGATAAGAGATGACGGGTGACCTATTAGTCTGACCATGACTCAACAATAAAGTTT